GGGGGGGGGGGGGAGTGTTTATCTGTCTTTTTGTGTATTTTGCAATGGAACCTACTTTCCAGGTAGTATATTCTCCTTAGTGAAAAGTTATAGGTTTGAACTGTATGTTTATGTGCAGTTGTATTGCAGGTCAGACGGAACACATCCCATCTGAAGTGAACAGTGAAAAAAACAAAAAAGAATCACATAGTCCTAAACTGTAGATAAGAAGTAGGAAGTATTATTTTATTGACTTGAGCAATAGAGTTAAACCTGTGCAGCTAAGCATGATGCTGATCCTTGTTAGTCCTGTAACTAGAAGAGACATATGTTCTCTCCAGAGGAGATTATTGCTGCCACTATTTGTCCTCCAGCTCAGTGATGAACTGTAACTGTAGGCATGGCTTTAAAATACTGGCTTCTACACAAGGCTAAAGAAAGTCTCAGAATATTATTTTAAATTTTGTGCTTGAAGAGTGATCCAGATACTCTCCTTCCCCTACAAGATTTAGTTGTGGTTTAATAGATGCTACCTTTCCTGTAACAGAGTCTTCCAGTGTGTCTCATTATGAAATATAAGGCAGCAGTTAGCAAAATCCAGTATGTGGGCACAAGGAGTGCAGCGACTGCTCTGCTCCTGGCAAAATTTTAGTTCCTACTTTAGAATAATGTGAAAAAAATAGATACGCATTTAACTTTGAAGTAGCCAACATGTAGAAATTATCTTGGTGAACACCAGGCAGTTGTACTGGGTGTTAAATTGGACAACATTACTATAAACATTTTGTGGGTTTTTTTTGTTTGTTTTTGTTTTGGGGTTTGTGAGAGTACTTTCAGTGTTAGTTACCATAGGGTAAAACATATCTTTTCGTCAGTACTGAGTCACAGACTTCTCGAGGTAGGAACTGGTCACTGAACGACTTTGCCTTTACTTTCCTTAGTTGAAATTTCTTATTCTTATAACTGCCTGTGGAACCTCTAAGGACAGACATGAATGCAAACAGGAACCAGGCTTTGAAATATTCTGAGGAAGATTTTCTTGATACAGTAGTACAAGAGAGTAATAGAAAGGCTAACAAAATTTACATTCTTTGAATGCCATTTTATACACAGAGTGCATGTTCATGTGGGTTTTACTCATTTTCTAAAAGAGAAAGATTTTCATGTGTCAGATTCCTGACATTTGAACATAAGATCTCCGCATACCCAGAGATTTGAATTTATTTTCATTTTTTTTTTCTCCCGTTGAAAAACGCCTATCTATTTTTAGCTACTCTCACTATTTAATTTCCATTAAGTGGTAGGTGCAGCAGTACTAGTTGTTTGAGGAGTTTTGTTTAAAGCTGCCTTCTAAGTTAACAGGGGACTAGAAATGTGGGGTTTTTTTCTATAAAAAGGAAGTGTTTTACTTGGGATTTTTAAAGCAACTCTGAAATAAAAGCTGTTCTCCTGCAGGGTGTTGTCAGTGATCAGACAACTGCACCTATGTGGAATTCTGCTGCTGCCTCTGCATGACTTACAGTTCTTAGTCCAGTAAAGTCTAACAGTAATCCAGATACTCAGTTTGTGACTAGTTCTTATTTTCAGTAAGACTGAAGACTATCTAACGGAACAAACATGAGTACTTTCATTCAGTTACAGGCGTATCTACTTTCAAGATCATGCTGCTTGATATCATGGAAATGCTGAGTAAATGTGACTCTGTTCGGTGTCTGGCAGATCTCTGTAGATAAGACTCTGTCTCTGCAGTCTGTGCACTTATGCATGTTTATATTTATGCAAGCTGCTTACTGCTTTAAAAATCACTTCCTTATCAGAACAAATGTTCTGCATAACTAAGCCTGAATGGAAGCAGGTTAATTGTAATAAGTGCTTCCAAGACATGTATGCTTTGAAGCATTGTCGAAAAACTCAAGGACTTTCCAGCAAATCCACCCTCAATGGAGGGCCTGCTGAAGTGTTGAGGAAAAGTTTTGTATCTCAGGTGGAATTTGTGAATGGGGAAAGAGAACAACAAGGATCTGGTCAATACCTGCTCACTATTCTCAGGGGTAGCTGAAGTTTCCTTATATCTTACTTTCCTCTGAGGCAAGAAAAGGGAAAAATTAAGTCAATTCTGACTCTCACTCCCCACCCATCAAAACGATTACTTGTCTCCTGGCCCAACCCAACTGCCACTTCAGAGGTGGGTGTACTCAGCACTACATTTTCCACTTGGCTTTTCTTCAATACATTTCTATAAAAACAAAAATACCATGTTGTCATGAATGGGTGGTAGGGTATTAGTGCAGCTGCCAGGAAGTTTTCAAATACCTGTTGTAAAGCTTTCATTAAAAGCTAATGCGTCTGTGGACATGTAATAGAGGCCGCGTAATGTTCATGTTGCTGGGTCCTCTCCACAGTAGCTGTATGGCAAAAGTCACCAAAGCAACTACAAGAGAGCAAACATCACCCTCTACTTCCTTTGGTATTTATTAGAGGAAGCAGAATAGGAGTCAAAATGAAGAGAATAAAGCTGGGTGCACGTTAGGTCAGCAGCCCACAAGGCTGAGAGAGTTGAGGCACCAGAACATTGCAGCTAAGTCTGCAAGACCTACCTATCAGATACTCCCTGCTCTTGTAACTGTTTTTAATCTCCTGATGGTCTTCATGATGCTGCCTCTCTTTCCTGTGTTTCTATTAGTCTTTCACAAGATTTACAGGCTGCTGAAGTAAGCCGAAGTACTTTCTTACCCTCTACCTACACCTTTCTGAACTTCTGATGCTGGTATTGGCTCATGGTGTGTTTTTGGAAGCTGAGTTTAGTGTCTTTCCTCAACAGGTTTTCCACTGATAGGAGAAAAGACTGAAGTGCCAAAATTGAAAGACACCTGAATTTTTTGTTCCAGTGTTACCAGCTCCTAATGATTTTTATCTTCTCATGAGATGAGTCTGTGTACTATTTCACAGCAAACCCTCACTGCTTTTTCAAGGCAAGAATACACTTAGCATAAAAATGTATGGTAACTGCTTAAATACAAAAAAATACCTACTTAGTTTATGGTTTCACTCTGCTCCCGAAACTACTTAAGACAGAACAGAGGAGGGTGATACATTTTGTGTGAGCTGGCATGAGGGAGGCCCTGCAGTGCCTGAGAAATGGGAATCCTGTTTTTCCAATCCTAACACTATAACTCAGACAAAATGAATAGCCCCAGAGAGCAGTGCAATCCTAATGTGACAATGATCAGAAGCTGCCATTGCTTTTAACTTTGTTCAGGAAAAGATACATCT